TGTCAGGCAGATGGGCCTAAATTTTGGAGGTAAAATTTTTTTTTATAAAATACCTTTGAAAATGGAGTTGTCTAGAATTTGACTTCAGTTTACCAATTTTTTTTTAGTTCTTTTCTCAGTTTATATCCAAAAAAATAAAATTTTAAAATTTTAAACTGTACTTTAATATTAACTCATTTCATGGAAAGCTTTTAAAACATTCAAAAGCATAAAATCCATCTTAATCCAGTAGAAAACGTATTGATCGAAACATCAAAGTCAAGGTCCTTCTTAAAATTGATCCTTTTTTTTTCTTTTTTTTTTCAGCAAATAATCAAAGATTGACTTGATTTATTTTTGCTTGTATTCACTGATACAGAAACAAAAGAAAAAAGGAAATTAAGTTTAACTATTTTTTAGTGCAGATTTAGATTTTGATGCTTCTTCAGGGCCTTTTCATGATGGGAATAAGTTGAATTAAGAACATGAAGGACACTTTTGGATGTTTCTAGTGAAAGGTGTTACAGTGAAATTGGATGTCTTCTGATGAAAAATCAGTTGTTAAATATGCCTGTGGGAATATGCTTTAATAGAGGTCTCTATTACAATGAGTACACAAACACACACTCTTTTATACTATTGTCATACCAAATCTATTTGGTTACAAACTTTGGTAGTATATGGCTGTTGGCATACATATTTACTTAAACATTTATAATAATAAAACATAGAATTCAGAAGAATGTAAATGAATTCTTTACTTTCTACAAAGAGAACATGCTAACAATTTGTCAAAATGTTACATGCATTCTCTCTGATACTGAAAAGGAAAGCTAGTTGAAAGCAAGCATCAGAATGCATCATTTCTTTGTGAAGACTACCTGAAGATTGTGTTTCTACAGGTGGAGCTCTGATGATTGGCCATTTAGGATCACAGCCAAGGATAGTGTATACTAATTATGGAAAAAGAAAGAAAGTTACACCAACAGTACAAAATACAATGCTGTTAGGAACAGTCATACCAGTGGAAATCTTTCAACCTTATATATATATATATCTCTTCAGTAAAATGAATGGAGCACTATGGCTGCTTGGCATTTGTTTATGTTTGTAAAAACAATATGCTAGATTTGGGTGACTCATTCTGTCGAGTGAAGATGGCTCAGTGGTAGAAGCTGTGACTGACACCAAATCAGTTGGTTTTCAATCTTGGCTTGAGGCATTCAGTTGTGTAGTCACACTGTGGAGCTGTGATACAGCGAAAGAATAATGTCAGCAAATGACATAAATATATATATATATATATATATTATCATCTACAGACAGACTGTTTCGCTGTACCACAGCTCATCAGTGTGGCTAGATATCCGGTTGCCTCTAGCTAGGATCAAAACCCAACTGAATTGGTGTCAGTTGGGGATTCTACCACTAAGCCATTGGCGCACAGCAGGGATGGAGGTGAATTTAAGTGTATTTATTTTTAGATAAACACACAGTGACTGAGAGAACTTGATTCACTTTACCGAAGACTCTTGCATTATATACATTACAGTTTTATTTTTTGTATAGTTGTGTCAAAGTCTGTATCAGTTAATGTCAGCTACCAAAAAATCCAATCATACATAAGAACATGTGCCTCTCAGAGGGATTGAACTTTGTACTCTGCCTTCATTTTTTAATTTCTTTTTTTATCTGGGAAACCACTTTTAAGTCAAGTTAGCCTTACCAATAAGCAATGGGAATCCATCATAGCAAAGCAATGTACAATTACTTCATTATGTTTCCAACAATAAGAAATAATGTTCAATTAAAAAAAATCCATTAATTGTTTAAAAGAAATTAATTTCATTATATTTGAACAATAAAGTTAGCAGAAGATGTCCATTTCATAAATACGGTAACTGAGGCTTGCTTTTCTGTGATAGCTTCCTATGGCATAGTGGCAAAGCACACTTAATTTAAACATAATTTAGCAGTTTGCATTTTTAAAAAGTAAGATTTTTGATCTATAGGCTAAGTAGAAATTAATTTCACTGTTTAAGAGAAAGCTAATTTCGATTCAAATTCACATATCTACTAAATATTATGTTTTCATTTATAAAATTCATTTATATTATGAGAATATTGAGGACCAATTTTATTATTGCACTTTGCATTTGTTTTATTTGACATTGGAAAATAAAATGAATTATCAAAAATTAAATCTTAATTTAATACAATTAGCCATTTCAAATACTCTGAGCAATAAAGATGAAAAGATTAAGTTTGGTAATTGTTTTTTCCAGAGTTTTTTTAACATTTAAGATTTTTGAATTTCAATCATCAACCAATTTGTGCAATCAACTTAATAAGCTATCATTGGTTTTAGATACTTTTGAACAAAATTATTACTTCATTCCTGTGTTCTTGTAAATATATTATTGGCAAAGAAGCAAGTCTGGGATTCAGGTGAAGAAAAAAACTACTATTTCAGTGTTTGAAGAAAAACTTGAAAAAAATATAAATTAAGATTCGATAAAACATATTAGACAGGATTAAACGATATTTTGGATACATTCGAATATTAATTAGTATTAGACAAAATGATTAATCTTTAAAGTTACAGCTTTTAAGTTATTAGAAATGTTAAACACAGTGTTTCAAAAGTCCGTCACATTACAACACTGTATACCTTAACAACTAGTGGGGATATCAAAATGCAATTTATATTTCCTGAAAGCTAATATTTCCCCTTTTCTATAAAGGGTTTTACAGGTGTTCAATGTGAGCGCCACAGGTTACATGACACACATCCAAATGATAATCCAATTCTTGCCAAACATGACTGAGCATAGCATTGTCGATAATTGCCAGAACTTCAGGTATTCATGTCGTCAGATCTATCCCTGTCTCTGGGAAGGGGAGGTGTATACATAAGGTTTGTCACATATCACCAGAAGAAGAAGTCATATGGTATGAGATCTGGTGACCTAGGAACACATGATCAACCTATCCAGAACATTCAACCCATCTGTCAGGCAAAGTGGCATTCAAAAATTAAATTTAATTAAAATTAAATCAACAGAAGAAAATTTGTCACTTTTAGCTTTTAAAATGGTACCAGTTCAATGATGCTAACATTTGTAGTTCATGATATAAGAGTTCTTAGAATGAGACATAGACTTTTGAAACACCCTGTATATCACGAACCTGTGAGGGAAGAAGAAGAGAGTTTCCTGACGTGCTTTACCGATTTAGACAGAGTGGAGCGTTTCAGTTAGCAAGGTCATGGAGAATTGTAGTTTAAAAGCAGTAAAATCGACCCTGCTAACTGAAACGTTCCTCTCTGGCTAAATCGGTAAAGCACATCAGGCTATATGATGATTTTGTGTATGATACAGGTTCAATTCCTGTCAGAGGATGCATATTTTCTATGAAAATTTCTCAGACATTCGGGCAGGTAACTGTCATTAATACTGTTTATTATAAACAGAGCATTTACTTAAATATCCGTATCTATAAAAAAGAATGTATAAACATAGAAATGTCTTAAAATATATATATATATATATATATATATATATATATATATATATATATATATATATATATCATAGAAAATGGATTAAATATGACAAATATTTAATATATATTAATATATATTCTGTTCATACATTATTTCTTATGGATACTCTTATTTGAGTAAATTCTCTCCTCTTTAATTAAACAGTATTAATTCCTGCTTCTGTGTTATAATACAGAGTCCTATTGACCATCATAGGGTCTTCCAGCAGCCACCCTCTTGACCCAAGGTACTTGATATAGACATCTGTGTTGATTTTGAGGCCCTCATCAACAAATTCAGAATTTCTTTTCTTAAGAGAAAGATCAGAGTGAGTTTTCTGAGATACTGTACCTTCGTAATCACTATTAGACTCATCCATCTCTTTGCGATTCCAATGCACTACCCTCAGATTGACACACAAACACTTTGAAATGTTCCTATTGGAGCTTCCAGCATGAATACCAAGCAGTACAGTATGCTGTTTCCAAATTTCTGGTGGACTAAATTGCATCATGGTGCTCTTTTTCTCACAGACAATGTCCAACAGACTCTACTATACTGTGCAGTCAACAAAATCAAAAACAAAAAATGCACATGCATGTAATTAAAAATATAAACTGGCAACAATTTACTTTATCACACCCTGTATATGTACGTGAGTTAAAGATCAAATGTCAATCAAATATGGATCAGAATCTGGCAGGATGATAAGATGAAGAACAAATAGGAAATATACATCAATCTAATATGTTTCACTTTTGTTAAAACTTTGTCAGAGATTGAGAGAAAAACAGATAAAAATAGACAGAACTTTGGTATTTTCGATTTTATTTGGTTCAAGTCTCATTGGTCAGTCATCTATCACCTGAATTAAAACTGTAGATAATTCTATATGTGTATAAATTTGTAAAAATTCTTGTATGTCTGTGTAGGCATTGGATGGTAAAGTTTATTTGTAATTGGGTATGTGTGTCTGTCTAGTAGGAGGAGTTCTAATGTCTTCACCTTTGTACAGTCAGCTGGCGCAGTGGTGGTATTCCACTCTAATCTTGGACTGATCTTTCTAAGCACAAAATCTTTGTATTAGATAGATATAAGTTAGATTATTTAGATTCTTTAAGAATGGATTCAAAGAAAGATGGTGATGCAATGTAATGTCTTAGGCATGTGTTTATAGTTGGTAATAATGTTTTTATTAAGCTTTCAAAATATTTTCTCCTTAAAAATTATGTCCTTTTTTAATTAAAAAAGAGGATTAGTGAAATCAAAGTCACATCCATTATTGTTCCTATGCAATATGAGAGAGTTAGATTATTTATTCAAATGCAAATCTCTCTTGTGTTCATAGATGCAGGTTTTTAGATCATGTAACATCACTCCAATATAAACATTTTTACATTATAAAAAAATTATTTGATAAATCCTGGGATTTGAATTGGTGTTGGGTTTATTGTGTCTGTCTGTCACTCTGTGTCAGTTTGTCTGTCTGTCTGTTGCTCTGTGTCTGTTGCTCTGTATCTGTCTGTCTGTCTGTTTACCTGTTGCTTTGTGTTTGCCTGTCTGGCTGTCTGTTGCTCTGTGTCTGTCTGTCTGCCTGTCAGTCTGTTGCTCTGTGTCTGTCTGTCTGCCTGTCTGTTTGTCTGTTGCTCTGTGTCTGTCTGTCTGTCTACCTGTTGCTTTATGTCTGTCTGTCTGCCTGTCTGTTGCTCTGTATCTGTCTGTCTGTCTGCCTGTCAATCTGTTGCTCTGTGTCTGTTTATCTGTCTGCCTGCATGTTGCTCTGTGTCTGTCTGTCTGCCTGTCTGTTTGTCTGTTGCTCTGTGTCTGTCTGTCTGTCTACCTGTTGCTTTGTGTCGGTCTGTCGGTCTGTCTGCCTGTCTGTCTGCCTGTTGCTCTCCATCTGTCTGTCTACCAGTTGCTTTGTGTCTGTCTGTCTGCCTGCATGTTGCTCTGTATCTGTCTGTCTGCCTGTCTGCCTGTCTGTTGCTCTGTGTCTGTCTGTCTGTCTACCTGTTGCTTTGTGTCAGTCTGTCTACCTGTCTGCCTGTCTGTCTGCCTGTTGCTCTCTGTTTGTCTACCAGTTGCTTCGTGTCTGTCTGTCTGCCTGTCTGTTGCTCTGTGCCTGTCTGCCTGTCTGTTGCTCTGTATCTGTCTGCCTGTCTCTCTGTGTCTGTCTGTTACTCTTTCTCTCCCTCTGTCTTTTATTCTCATTCTCTGTCTTAGGATATTTCTAAGAAACTGATATCAAAAGTATCAGAAACAGACCAATGTAAAAGTTATCATGGAAGTGATTTAGTCACAAAAATTCAAGTAGGTAAGACATATAGAAAGATTAACAGATGGAGCAAAAAAATGGTTGATTGTTGCCTAGTTGAACTTACTGCTGGTTGAAGATTAAATCAGTTATATTGGGCAATCTGACTGTTCATGCCTTCTAATCTTCTATGTTCGAATTGGCTAGGGCATTGTCCATGAAATTCAATCTCTTGCAATATGTGATGCATGTTCTACAGTCTTATTGCCACTTCTCTACTCTAAATCTTTAATAGAGTATTTTTTTTAAATCTAAAATTGTTTTATCTCTGAGCTAAAGCACTTTCATTATTAATTTTTGGCTAGGCTTTTCTTTGTCTTATTGTTTTGGATATAACTCGCAAAGTCAAATAGACTTAGAGTCTCATTGGAATCCATTTCGGTATTCCAATTTCACGCTATTGATTGTAACCAATCATGTTATTGATTTTAAGACTATTATGAGGAGTTCAACTTTTTATGAACATCACCTAAGCCGATGGCTCGACAAGAAATCAATCTAGTTATATAGCTGGCTTTCTACTCAAAATCTTTGTCATTTTGTTATTTGTTTTTGTTTTTTTTTCCAATAAGAAATAGTCATAAATGAATTTGAATTCTTAGATAAAGTATTTTTTTTTATTTACTTTTGACTAATATTTACTGTGTCTTGTTTCATGTTAGAATTTGGAGTAAAGAAGTTGAGTGTTCAAGTATCATTTAATTTCATGTGGATGACTTTTTAAACAGTCAGATGTTTCAACTTTGAATATTGTAATAAATAACAATAAGGTGACAAGAATAACGAAAAATTAATAATAAATAAATGTCTTCTCACTAATTTCCCCATAAAAGTAATTCAAGACTAAATTGGCGTTGTCTGAAAAGTAATTAACAACTTTGAGTTAATACCAAATTGATGTCATATTCAAGTTAGTAACTAACCAAACTTCACATGAATTACTAAAATGGATTGATCTTGAAAGTTATAAAAATCAACAATGAGATTAAGAAAATACTAGTCAATAATTAATATAAAAATTATAGCTCTAAATTCAAATAACTTCAGTGGTTTGACTCTATTCGAATCAAGTCATATTGCCATCACTCCATCTTTATGTTAGTTATTTTAATGGTTGGAAAGGATTCAATCAAGAATGTTTTCATAAGAAGCAATCATAAAATGAAGAAAAGACTAACCAAAAATTAATAATAAAAATACTTTTAGCTCTGAATTTAAATAATTTCAGTGGCATGACTCTGTCCAAATCAAGTCATATTATCATCTCTTTGTTTTTATTCAATTAGAAATTTGAGGAAGGGTTAGAAAATTATAAAAAATATTATTTAATGGTTTTAGTACCGCACTTTTATTCCATCCATTCTTTGGAAGTAAAATATGAAGCAACAGTAAGTGGAAGAAAAAATAACCAAAAATTAATAATTAATATATGTCTTCTCATTAATTACCCCATAAAAAGTAATTTAAGACTAAATTGGCCTTGTCTGAAAAGTAATTAACAATTTTGAGTTAATACCAAATTGATGTCATATTCAAGTTAGTAACTAACCAAACTTCACATGACTTACTAAAGTGGTTTGATTTTGAAAGTTGTAAGAATCAACTATAAGATTAAGATAAAACTAGCCATTAATTAATAAGAAAAATTATAGCTTTGAATTCAAATAACTTCAGTGATTTGACTCTATCCAAATCAAGTCATATTGCCATCTCCTCATCTTTATGTTAGTTATTTTAATGGTTGGAAAGGATTCAATCAAGAATGTTTTCATAAGAAGCAATCATAAAATGAAGAAAAGACTAACCAAAAATTTTAAAAAATACTTAAAAATACTTTAGCTCTGAATTTAAATAATTTCAGTGGCACGACTCTGTGCAAATCAAGGCACATTGCCATCTCTCTGTCTTCATGTTACTTATTTTAATGGTTGGAAACTATTTAATCAATAAGGTTGTCATAAGAAGCAACAATAAGATGAAGGAAAAACAAGCTATTAATTAAGAAGGAAAATACTTCATCTTCAAATTCAAATTAATTTAAAACTTACTTGAAGCTTATCTTTATTCTAACCTCATGCAGGTGACTAACTGGTTGGAGAGTCTTCAACCTTGAAAGCGGTGATAAGAAACAACAATCAAATGAAAAAATAACCAAAAATTTTAACTTTTTTATCAGAATATATACTCAATGGTTGACTGTTCAAATCTTATTTGAAAGAAATTTTTTTGACTTCAGGCTGGTGATTAAACTGGCTGGAGTATTTTCCACTTCGAAAGTCATGATAAGAAGAAGAATAAGTGGATAATTTACAAAGAACCAAATCTCAACATTTGTAATTATTTCTTTATTCTGATTTCATGCTAAAAACTTTGACTGGTTAGTGAGTTTTCAACCTTGAAAATCCTAAGAAACAACAACAAAAATAATAAATCTCTAATGGTAATATTAACCTTTTCCCTACAAGGAAACATTTGGCATTCATTAACTGATCAGCCTGTGCTACATAAGTTATGCTTTTTTTTTCACTCTTTAGCCATTCACCTGGAATCAAAGTGTAGTATCTGTTCTTATCTCTAATAATATTATTAGACATTTCCCTACGAGGAAACATTTGGCATTCATTGATTCAGAAGCCAATGCCAGTGGAGTTATGCTTTTCTTCACTCTTTAGCCATCAACCTGTGGAATGAGGATGAAATAATAAACAGAGAACATCAATGGAAAATATGAAAACTTAAGGAATCAGTGTATATGCTAGGCCACAAAAATCTCCTAAGCCGGCCAAGCAAAGAAATGAATACAATATGGGAACTCGTAATATGAAGTACCAGAGAAAAACAATAATAATAATAAATTGTCATATGAGCTAAAAAAAGAGCAGTGAGTTCAGTACCTAGCTACAGCAGAAGTGAACAAAAAACTTGGAGAGTTGAATTAAAAGGGAAATAATTGATGCCGAGATACCCAGAAGAGGCATAGCATGTGGAACTAGAAAAAATCTACCCTAATGGATGAAGTAAATTCTTCAGTTTGAAATTCCAATCACCTGAAGAAGGCCAAAGCATACAATGCTAATATATCATTAATATGTTAACAATGATGAGGTCAACAGACCGAACAATGTAAACTGTAAATAATTACAGATCTTTGTTTGGATTTTCTCAAGAACCTCAAGATGAATAGCAGGAGCACCAGACTAGATATGGCAGCGGTATTCAATGCACAGATGAATGGTAGATTTGTAAATATGCAAGATGGACTCTGATGAGAAAAAACCTGGAATGACACAGTGACCCAAATTTCCTTGCTGTAGCTGCAGCCATTAATTCAATGTAGTCATTGCACCTAGTCAGTTGAAAATGTAAGGCCAAGAAGGGTCAGGGTGTTGCTGATGGCAGACAGAAAAGTTTAATTATTTCAGGATCAAATTATAATTACTTAATTGCATTTTTCCATATAATCTGACAAATCAAATGATGAGTGAAAACTTGTTTCTCCTTTACAAGAAATGAGATTAATCATAGCAATTTTATTTTTATTTTTTGACAATTTTGCTATAAAAACATATTTTTATACTTTCCTAGTGTTTTGATTTTTATTTGGGAGGAGGTTCACTATTTACCCATAGCTGGGACCCTAACAGGTGCTACCACTTGAGTTCAGGGTGGACCTGGGAACAAAAGCAATTAGGAGGTTGTTTCATGCTCCTCAAATCCTCCAATCTCTCACTCAGATGTTTTGCTGGCAGATGTAGTTTATAGTCAAACCCAGGACTAACAGTGCTTGGTAATGATGAATGAAGTACATTATTTGAAAGGATAGTTGAGGTAGACATATTTGTATTACTTCAAAGCACCCAAGAGAATTAAATGACCCATAAGGAGTTGATATGTCGTTAAACTAATTCACTAAATTTTGGCTGTTAACATTAAATTACAGGGTTATTCAAAAAGAATGAACTAATTTCATTATGCAATATTTTAATGAGGAAAAGAAATAGAAAACTCCAGCCCCCAAAAAAGGCTAAAAATAATGGAAACATTATTAATAAAAAGAAAAAGCCAACACTCAATAATATCAACTATGAACATGACCAAAATGTGCTGACCATGTTTGGAAAATAAAACATTCTATAACTTTAGATACATACAAACTGGAAACCCAGTCCTAAACAGGAAACAAGGGATAAACCTCTATTCCTATTCAAAAACATAATTATTTTCCTATCACTTTAATATTCCCTGTTCAAATAAGTTGGGAGTAATGCATAGATACTATTTTAATCAGAAATCGATTGCTTTGACTCAGGGAAAATGTTTGAGACACAATGAAGAAATTGAAAATGGTCTTTTGAACTTTTTTTTTCAGGTGTTAGATAAAATGGTCTTTCAAATATTTTCAGTGAAAACACAGATTTCTTTTCTTTAACTGCTTTCCCGCCAATTATTTTGGGAAAAACATTTCATTTTTCAGACAAATTTTTTATTTGTTTTTAATATAGTAACTAAGAAACAGAGGCACTTTGAAGTACCCGACATATGAATTGACAACTCGACTCGTTTCAAGCTCAGAAGGGCATAAAAAGAATCAAAATCAACATATAAACACAACACGTTTGTAACTGGCTTTTGAAAGCTATATTTTGGACATTTTTATTTGTCCATGTTTGAAAAAGACACTTTAAAAAAAAAGTGTATACACATCTACACCAGGAAAGGGGTTTTAAAAGTGAAATTAAAATTTTCCTCCCATTCGTTTAGGGTTTTGAAAATAAAGGTGATTACATCGATAAATAATTTTAAAATAAATTTAACTTACTTTCCCAACACTCTAATATAAGAATATATTTTCCAAGACTATATCCTGCACATCTACAGATGCAGATGTAAAAAGATGAGAACTGACCAT